TGTGAATGGTGGATGAGGGATGATGGATGTAGGAGTGGAGGCAGTTAATGCAAATAACTCCTCTTGATACAGTACCTAAGACATGCACCCCTATTTATTGGCATCGCTTAACCTCCATTCGGTGGATTAATCCTTCTGCTGTAATGACTGTTGCACGTGGAGAGGTGAGAGCCGGACCTACAGTACCAGCATCAATGACGAAGTGAATAGTGGTTGGTGGGTGATGGATGTAGGCGTGGATGTAGAAACAAAAAGTGAGGTGAATGAGGCAGAGTAGTTGGCGGAGGGAGAAATGAGATTGAGAATGGGAAAGTTGTTAAACAGAATACATAGTTGATCAGGGGATTCTTGATTGCAGCCCCCATTTTGCCTTATGTAGCTAGGCATTTTGAGGCATGTGTATCCTCCTCTATCACTTGCGGATATACAGTTGTAAGTGTCCCTTTGTCTGCAACCACTGCAGCCACGCTCTTACTACTATGCGTCTGCGTTGAATGACTGCTTGTGAAGACTCGGACTGCATTCACTACTCAGTCAAAGGAGGGCTCTTTGTGCCAAAACCATCCCTTTATGCATAATGGAAAGTAAGCTCGCACGAGAAAGCCAAATATCTTTCTTTCGGTATGGGTATGCATTGAAAATGACCTTCACGAGTAGCAAATTTGTATAAATCCCCTCGATGTGTAGCATATTCTAACAAATTTAAGGTCTAAAAATGCCGTCATTGCAATTCTGAATTCCAATAGAGGATCTGATTATCCCGGAAGCAATGCCCGGCACAGGATTCTCCCAAGTGCTTGCTCTGGCTGCGTACACTTTAGCTGCATTGGAATATCTCAGTTTCATTGTTCCACATTGAGAGCTCTACCGTTTGAAGGCAAAACATACAGCAATTTGCGTAGGAATTTAGCAAAGACTATATTTGGTGATTTATGTCAGCTTGAGTCCACCACCACATTTCATTACCATTTTTCTTCTGCATGCCTAATGGAAGTTGCTGACATCCTTACGGAGCACTACTGCAACTACTGTATTCGTGACTGCTGAAATGCTCGGGATTATGCTCATGTGTTACGTTCTCCAGGTACACAGATTAATTAAAATGGATGTAGTGTGCATTAACTGCACAACCGGAGCATGTTGGCAGAATCTTTTAATCGATTTGTCCTTCTATTTCTCAATCACTTCTGTGGCGGCAGCAGTCATTCTCCTGTGTGTGATGATTGTAGATATCGAGAGGGATGGAGGGGAGGTGGACAAGAGGAAAGTTCATCTGAGACACTATCAACGAAGAAGGGGCGACAGGCTTCCAAAACGGCTACTCAGCCACCGGCACTGCCGCTACTACCACTACCCTTAGGTCTTATCTTCGCGAAACGGCGCAGACATACTTGAGAGGAGGTGGAGGCTGTTTAACAGTGCTAACCTAGTGCCCCCCTCCTTCCTTTAGTTTGCATTTTAACGTGTTTGTGTGATACGTGTGCGTGTTTTCAGACCAAAGTCTCTCTACCTGAGTCTGACTCTCGGTAGGCGGTGGAAAAATACAGCTGGAATGAAACTTATGGCTGGGTCACGGGAGGCTTGAGAGCCGTTGTTCTTTCTTTCTCCATGGTTTAAATGATAATCTATGCAAAGATGACATCTAACGAATCGCCTTTGGCGGATTTTTCGTCTGTTCCGACTCCGAAGTATATGTATACATTGACCTGACAGTAAAATTTGCCTTATAAGTAACCGAATGCAGCATTACCATATGTACTACCGAGTTGAAATATTAATGACAGTCACTCCTTCCTTGAGGAAAAATAAACAATTCATGGCCGTTCCTGTGCCATGGCCAATGTCAGTCCATCAGATTACTTGCAATGGTTGATTTAGAAGAACAAGTTGAGGACGTCAACCAAGCCATGGTGGACTCTTCATCGGGCAGTAATTAATATTTCGACACCATATTCATCTGCGTAAACCTTCTACAATTCTTCTACTTGTGCGTCATGGAGAAATGCTTGCGTCGCTTATGAAGCTTGCCTTGACCCCTTCAATCCCCATATAGCGCCTTTACCGATAAGGTTTCATTCGTATCTGATCATGTCTGGGCATACAAACTGGTAGAATACAGGGAAAATTTGCCTTCACTGAAAAAGCTTACAAATACCTGAGCTTGACCGCCCCTAGTGTGTCTTATTGGAACAATTTTTCTCTGTTCAAATTTAGTGAAAAGTCTTTCCCACTGGCTATTTGTACACTTCTCTCCTCTGCTTACATGACATACCATCTCTTTTCTTTTTTTTCTGTAATTAGTCTGAATCCATCTTCAGCTAAGTAATTTAAAAGGCAATTCACATGCTTGGAGACTATTTGGTCCCAAAATCTTATTACAGACTGCTTACTTGCCAACTAAGAGTACCTATCCAATAAATGGCAGCCGTTTATTATTATGATATATCTAAATGCGTCTTAGATCTTTGTTTTAGACCGCTAGATCTTCTGCCAAGTACGTGTCAGCAACAGACGCTCGTAAGTGTACGCTGTGTACAAACGAGGATCAGGTAGTAAATGCAATAGCCTATTTTATTTGCAGCTGTATCATTTTAGACAACTCATTTGCCCTAATCAGATGAAGGAAAAAGGGTGTTCCTCATTGGATTTTACTAAACAAGTGCACTGGCAAAGCATTAAGGAGTCAAACTACATTATTCAAATTGTCTAAATGACTAAACTTCATTCATATTGACGCGAACGCATACATGGGTTGAATACAATAAAATACGGAATATTAAATAAAAAAAGACGCATAAAGTACGCACGTAAAGGTTAAACTGACAGGCTATCCTGGGCAAGGACTGTCCACTAAGAGTACATGGCATCTCAAAAAATTTGCCTTAAGTAGTTGAGTCTAGGTACCTACACACCTAAACAAAACTAAACAAAATTAATTTACTCATTCGACACGTTTTATAAATTTTTGCCCTTGTTTCCATTTTGTGATATTGTTTTGTGAAGTATGGCCGTAAATGTGATAGAGTGGTGTCAAATGGCTCTATCCTCCATCCATTGTTGCATAAGATTAAGTAGGGTATGCAACATGCAAATCGCCAATATTTAAAACGGCTTCGTAAGAAGAGTCATCGTACCTCATTGGAAACATTAAAGCAGTTCATTTATTCATTTCTTACTTTGAGGCTATCGTAAGTATTCATTGCTTGAGCCATCAGTGAGGCCCTCACTACCACATTCATCATTGTGCTACTTCAATATTATAATAACATTTGTCTAAAAATGTTGAAACTACTCTTACCTAAGAATACAACTAGGGATAATGTTTAAAGTGATAATGCACTGTGACACTTAGATGGGTTTTGAAATCGTTGGGCGTAGGAACCAGGCTAAAAGTTACATTGCTTATAATGTTGAATTAAGCAAGGTAGATTGGGTAGATGATTGCATCAGCAGAGGAAGGGAGATTTAAGACTTTGTCGCAACTTGCTCCTTTTGCTGTCTGCAAGTTAAGACAGTAAAAGACCGCTATAAACCAACGTAATATCAAATGGGAAACACCAGAATTCTCAGAAACTTTGATGCTCTGGCTGTTTAACGTAGTGAGAAGTGAAGGGATGCTACACCTGCACCATATGCAGTACCTAACTGACCGACTGCAATGGAATGTAATTAACAAACTTAAGGGCAGATGCAAATATCACTTACAGGTGCTACTTAGGGAAAAGTAATACACAGCAAGATTAAATTTAAATGATGCAATTCACTTTGCAGATCCATTTCGCAACGTTGACCCTTTTCATGAATGCTCTCAGAGCCAACCACTGTGAAATCACTGGCATTGGGAATTTACCTCATTTCCATATAAACCTTCTGCTGCAACCGGTGAAGTCCTCAATGCAGTTAGTTGTACTAGACGGAAGTTGAAAATTCGTCCATGTTGGATGAGAGACCACAAATCAGTGAGTAGAGGTGTACCGCCTCCGGTTTTCCTTTGGTAACTCGCCAAAGGCTTTAGAAAACCGACGAAAGCAGCTTCCACTGATTACATCAAATTAATAGCCATTCCAATGGGTGAGTTCGTGATATATGCGTAGATTAGGATAGCATGTGTGGAAGTAATGGTTCTCATTCATCAACTTGTGGCCGGTCAAATAATACTAACGAATACAGGGCCACGGCATGCAATATGCCAATCCTTTTGCCATGTA